GACTGCCAGTGCAGACTCCCTTTCCAGTTTGTGACTGCTAGCAGTTGTCCTTGCCAGTGTTTAAAATAGACCTGTAATAGGGCAGGTGTTTTCATGACAAGCACTGGAGCTTTGGGGGCGTCACCGTGAGGTTCTGACGGCGTTACTGTGAGGTTGATCGTGAGCAGTGTTATGCCCCGCCTGTCAGTGGGTAGCGAGTGTTAATGTAAGGCCTCAAAAATATGGCCGTACCTCCAGCTCGGAGAAATACTGAATACTGAAACATTCCCATGAAGTTTTCACTCTGACAGCACATACTCTGCTCGAGTCTTGTTCGGTGCTTTTAGTCTTTCGGCGATGGTGAACACAGCAACTCCGCACAGTGTGTGTGTGGGGGGGTGTGTGTAGTGTGTGCGTTCACAGCACAGGTGTGGAACAATAGGGCCCTCTTTGTCAAGTGTGTTGGAAGAGAAAAATGACTTTGACGTTGTCTCACAGTCGAGCAAGAAGCTAGTAGAAGCTCAGATGTAAATCTGGAATATGTACAAGAATCTCATTTCAGTTTTTTTTAAAGCCTAAAAGCAAATGTGCTGGTAATACTTTGCAGGCTTTGCAAATTCCCTCAGTAATTGTCGGCTGAGTGTTTGGCTCTTAAAAGCCGTGTGTTCTGGGCGCGGAATGAGCTGCCTCACGTGATGGCCTGACAGATTCTTTACAGGGAGACAGTAACTAGCAGATGTTTATTTGAGAAGGTAACCTGACAAGGCTTTCAGGCAGGTGCTGAGTGACGGGACGGAGCAGGAAAAGCGTTTCTTTACTGTAAACTGTGATGCTCTCCTCTGAGACCACCTACATGGCTGAGCTGATCCAGGGCTTCTCCGTCTTTTCGTCTTGCTCACTATTATGGCTAGCTAGGCAGAGAGGCATGTGGGAGTCTTCTGGAGCTCTTGTGAAAGAGCGCTGATGGTAACCATGGCTTTTGTGCGAGCAGGCAATGACAGAGTCGAGCCGACTCTTCTCGCTGCCTGGGAAAGGGGTCTGAGTGCTCACAGGGTTTTGTTGAATCCTTTTAGATGCTTTTGTGGACTGTGGCTCTGAAAACGTCAGCTGCCCCTAAATCTTTTACCTGCTTCTTCCTCAGTGTGAATTTTCCCTAAGTTCTCACGAGACAAAACGAAGCACATTTGCCAGGGAGCAAAACCAAAAGGCGGTTCTGTTCTACTAGTGTGACTCAGCATGTCTCATGGCTGCATTCGGATAAATCTAATTATCGTGGCATTGAAGAAGAAGGCGGCCCGCCTCCCCCTGATTAACGTGCTGTGTGCTCGGCTGAGCAAGTTTACAAGATGTTCAGCCCCGAGAGAAAAGATTGTGAGCACCCAAGATGGATATGAAGAAGATCACTTTATTGGCTATACACAATTTCTTGCATTAGGAATTCATCTTTTCGCAGACCCCAGCTTGCTCTCCATGAGACACACAGACAGGGAGAGAAGCTGGGGGTCAGAGCGCAGGGTCAGCCATTTATACAGCACCCCTGAAGCAGTTGGGGTGAAGGGCCTTGCTCAGGGGCCCAAGAGTAGGATTCCTCTGCCGGCTGCAGGATACGAACCAGCAACCTTCCAGCCACAGGCGCAGATCCTGAGCCACAGAGCCACCACACTGCCGAGTCTGGGGAGTGGAGTGGGGAGTGTGATGAGTGTTGTTAAATAATAACTTTATAATAAATAATAAATAAATAATGACAGAATCAAAATAATACCAAAGTGAGAAAACTGAAATCAAGATGAAAATAACAAGGATGGCTATGTGGAGCAGTAGTCTGCATTGCTGCCTTGCAGCGTGGGGGCCCTGGGTTCAGTTGCAGATGTTGCTCTCTGTGGAACCCGCATGTTCCCCCTGTGTTCATGTAGGTTTCCTCCCACAATCCAAAGACAGGCTGGTAGGTTGATTGGATTCTGAGAAAACTGGCCCTGGTGTGAGTGTGTGTGCCTGTGCCCTGTGATGGACTGGCAGCCCATGCAGCCTGTACCCTGCCTTGTGCCCATTGATTGCTGGGATAGGCTGTGGCTCATTCACGACCCTGAACTAGCAGAAGCAGTTAGGAAATGGGAGGGAAAAAAAAAGGAATCATTTTAAAATGAGTTTAACAGCTTTGCTGTTCTAAAGGGAGGTTTGTGGGGGTGCTAAGTTTTGGGGAAAAAGTCTGGTGTCGTGCTTGGTTAAATTGTCTTCGTACGGTTCTGTATAACCATCCCGGCGCTGTCTGAGATGTAAAATAATTAACCGTATTTAAATTCTGGCACGTGTTGGACCACTGATCTGTAAAACCAGCCATACACTTCCGAACAAACAGAAAGGAACACAGTCAGATTTCTTCATCGACAAACTCATTTTCACATCCTTTTCAATCCCTGATTGGCAGCCATGGTGTGTTTGGTCAATACTCCGGCTCCAGTTTTTGTCGTTTTCGTGTTTGATTCCATTACTTTCTTTTGAGCCGCAAGGAAGGCTGAGGGGTTCTGGGATGATTCAGGCTGAGATTTGAAGTGCTATTTGTTGTACAAAGCTGCTTTTGAAATGAAAGACAAAGCCACAAAGACACACCGACTAATAACAACAGCCACAGAGCAGCCTTTAAGAAAATAAACAGTTTTAATAAAAGTGGTATTTCATACGCTTACGTTTCCCTAATTTCCCCTAGATGTTTGGAATTCAGTTGATTGCTGTTAAATCTTTTGCCCTTTGGAAGTGCGGAAACGTGCGAGATGTTTGCTTCCTTCTCTTGGCAATCTCACGAAGAGCTGCTCCAGAGCAGCATTACTTCACCGGGGCGGGGGCCCATCGCTGCGGGAGCGGGCCTCTCCTGGCTTGGCGATGGTGCCGTGGCGAGTGCAGTCGAACAGAACGTGTCTCCGGCGCAGGGCGCAGCTGCCAGACGCTGCTCTCGGCTCAGCAGCTCCGCTGTTCCTGCACAATCCTTCTTCCCGCTGCCCGGCTAAATGACAGACCGCACCAGGGAGGGAGGTGGGCGGGCCTGGAAACAAAGCTGCCAGCAGCACTGGTGCTTCCTGAGCTCTCGCAACAGCTGGCGGCCGTCACCCTCTCCCCTTGCGGTCAGCAGGCTGAAGTCCAGGAGGGTTTCCCACCCGGGTGTCCTCGGTGTACAGGTTTTGTGTCTTTAGCCTACAGGCCTGGTCTGAGGCCTCTGGAGTAGCGTTTTATGTCCCCAGTGTTCATATAAGAGATATGAACGCTGTGCTGGAGAAGTTTGTAGTTCACTCGCACACTGGTGTCTGTAATGTACTGAGAGACATTAAAAACGCGACAAATTCTATCAGTTCCAACAGTCATTTGCTATGTCTTTCAATGCCTCTCGGTTTACATGAATCATTTATATCCTAAATACTGATGACTGACGTGCCTGGGATTGCTTCGGTGTCTTTTTTAGTCTTTTTAGGACACCAAATTGGTTCAGACTGCAGGAGAGGCAGGATTTTTCTGGTGCTCGGGAGAGTCTAGAAGCTACCCAGTGATCTTCTGGGACATCGAAGCCAGGCTGCAGATCACAGAACCCTGTTTCTTGCTGCTTCCTGGGGAGTTTGCTGGGAATGATTGCCAAGGCAGCTCCTGCCAAGAATCTGCAGTTGAAAATGTCTTTCAGCCTCTTCAAAGTCTTCAGCTTCTCCTCACCTGTTTTTATGGTGTCACTGCTGTGGAGCGATTATGCTTAAGTCCAGTAATCTGTTCTATGAGACAGTTTTGAACAGTGTGTGGTGCAGTTCTCTTAAGACAGTATCGAGCAGATTACGGACAGTAAACTGTTATCATTTTTTATCAAATTAAATTTTATCGCGCAATGCATATATGTCGCAAGGAGTGTCCACACTCCAACATAAAATCTCTACTACGTTACAAAAAGTTCTTGAAGGGGTGATTGTCCTTTTTCAGTCTGTGTAAGTGGTTGCAGGGGCTGGATGTGCACAGTTTAGGAGTCCCTTTAAGCCCCACCACTTGCTGTTGTCTGTGTCTCTTTTCCCTGTCCTGGTTCTGAATCTGCGGTCGTCCAGTCCTCCGCACAAACTCAGAGGAACAAGTTCTCCCTCCTTAGTCCCTGTACAGGGCCCACAGCCCTTTTGTTATATACACATAGATTATTTGGTAGGAAATATTATGTTAAGTGCAAAATACCCACTCCAAAATAAACAGAAACCATCCATTTTATCACTGCTCCTTCCAGTTCAGGGTGGTGGGGGAGCCGTAGCCTATCCCAGTGAGCAACAGGTGCGAGGCAGGGTACATCCTAGATGGGACACCAGTCCATTGCAGGCGAGACAGACGCAGACACGAACACACTCACACCCAGGTCAGTTTTCCCAGGTGCCAGTTGACCGCTCATCACGTCTTTGGACTGTGGGAGGAGCCTGAAAACCAGATGAAATACTGGACAAAAAGTCAGACAGTGTCCTTTTTAAATATCACCTCAACAAGCTCGTCGTGACTGAAGCTGAAAAGCAGCTCCATACCAAGTGGCGTGCTCTCCAGCTGAGGTGTGTGATGTCGTTGCAGGTACCCTGCCCTACGAGTACAAGATCGTCATCGCAGGAAACCACGAGCTGACCTTCGACCAGGAGTTCATGGCGGACTTGATCAAGCAGGACTTTTACTATTTCCCCTCCGCGTCCAAGCTGAAGCCCGAGAACTACGAGAACGTCCAGTCTCTCCTGACGAACTGCATCTACCTGCAGGACTCGGAGGTCAGCGTGAGGGGCTTCCGAGTGTACGGCTCGCCGTGGTAAGTGAGCGCGGGTGACAGCGGCTTCCTCTCTGCTCTCCGGAGGCTGGGGCAGTCCAGCGGGAAACGAGGAACACTTTTCCACCTGCTGTACTGATAGATGCTAAACGGGCAAGACTTTTCCGCTTGCTGTACTGATAGATGCTATACCTTGAACTTGCATCTACTTATGGGCGATTTTCCTCTTCGCTGCCATCGCTGTTCGTTATCTGCTCCGCGTGTAGCTCCAGCACAACATTCACTCCTCCAGGAAGTGAAAACTGGAATTCAGGAAGTAGCCCAGATGCACAAAACCTGCACAGAATTTCTCGTCCACTAGCGACTGTCC